AATCCTTTAAGAGAGGTGCCTTTCCTACCCCTTTAAGGGTCGAGACGGGAAGACTAACTAAAAAAGCTGCTTTTAAATCTTCTTCTTATATAGGAGGAAGCGTAGGTAGGTAGGTGTATTCTAGCTCTACTGCTTTCCTATAGTCTCCTTCTTCGTTTAGATTATCTAATTTAGTAGCTTCCTCTTCTTCGAAGTTAGCGTTATCCTTAACTACTTTAATATTAGTTTCTTCTTCTATTTCCTTATCTAGGACCTCTTCTTAAGACTATTAAGAAAGAGGAATTTAAATCTTCTAAATTAGCTAACGTTAAGAGAGTAAGAGGGGCTATTAATCCCTCTTTCCGTTAAAGAAGCTAGATTTATTAAAAATTATATCCCTAGTCGTAATAACCTTCTATAGAAGAGGAATCTAGATCTAGAAGATATTTATAGAATTATAGCCGATAAGGTAACTAATAAAGGCTCTAGGATTAAGCTTTCTTTTCTTCTTCCTTTTTAGCTATATATTAGTAGTTATTACGTATACGTTATAGCTATAGGTATAAAGGTAGGCTAGCGAGGCCCTCTTCTTTATAAAGAGCTTAAGGGGGGATTTTTAATCTATTCCTTAGTTTAGTTCCCTAGGGTCCTTAGGGTCCTTAGGGATCCGGTTCTAAAGGTAAAAGGCGGTCTTAACGACTTCCCTTTAAAGGTTATATAAAAACTTTATAGTAAGTCTTATTATACGGGCCCTTTTTATTATAGCACCCCCTAATCTTTCTACCCCTCCGTTCTAGGCCTAGGTATTCGGTGCTAATAGGAGGGGTAAAATGCCCCTTTTTCGAAGCTAATTTATAATATCCTTTATAAATAGCTCTCTATTAAACTATATCTTCTTTACCTTATAGCTAAAGTAGGATTTTATTTAGTTAACGAAGTCCTAGAGGGTAAACTAGTTATACTTACTTAGGTAGGTCTATAAGAAATAAGGGAAAACTATCCCTAAAAAAGCGTCTATAAAAAATATTACCCTAACAAAGCTTTCCTAATCCTTAGAGACGTCGGTCTAATCGACCTAAATTTCCTTATATAGCTAGTCCGGCCGTATTAAGGTCCGTCTAGAAATTCGTCTCTTAGTCTTTCCTTAGCTATAGTGTTCGCATTCGACGGTCTTTAGGCCCCTTATTTATACGCCTTATTATTAACCTAGCTTATATAAAGCTAGGGGGCCTAGGTAACTAAGTTATACGTGCTAAAGAATACCGTCTCCTTAGGCTGCCGGAAGAGGGTCCTTTATAGTAGACCTATTCCTCTTAGTAAGGAAAGCTAATTTCTTAAGTAATTCCTTCCTAAGGATAGGTCGGAATTCGAGAATAAATTAACCGAATTTCTCCTCGATAAGCTTAATAGTCTAATTCTTCTAGACTAGCCTTATAGGCTTAGACGTCGTATCTTAAAAGATCCCTTCCTTTCGAAGAAAGCGGAAGGAAATTAAGCTTATTAAAAATCGAGGGTAAAAAGCTACCCTTTTTCTTCGAAGAATTTATATAGATCTATTAGGTAATTTTATCGTAAAATTTACCTTTCTATATCCCTCTATCTATATAGTTAATTCCTTAGTAATAAGATATTCCTTCTATGCCTTCTTAAAGGACTAGAATCGTAAGAGTATATTATAGATATTAAGGGAAGTACTAAAGTTAAGGATAGCTAATTTTCGTAGGGGATAGTTAGAGGGTCCTAATAGTTAGTCTTACTAATCTATAGGGAAGATAAATACCGGATTTACTATACTAACGATTTTTCCTCGAATTTACGGCTTAAATAGGGGCAGCGGCGTTATTAGTTACTATTTCTTAGTAACCCGAATCTTATCTATCTTCTCCTATAACGAGGGGTCCTCCTTAAGAGACTATTATACTATTTCTTATAGCCTCTTTAAAGGGTTAACTCCTTTAGGTCGGTTTTCCTTAAAGACCTACTAGCAGTCTTCTAGCCGATAGGGCTTTTTATATACTTAGTAGGTAGGTCGATTCCTTTTCGTACGTTATTTCTTTAAGGAATCCTTATCTTAGTCCGGAAGGTCTACTTAAAAACCCCCCCTTTTTACCTCTTATTGCTAATTTTAACGAAGAGGTTCGATTTCGACTAGTTCCTTAATTTTTCGACTAACGGACTAAAAGGTCTATTAGGGGACTAGTCGGGCCGGTCTAATAGACGGGACCGGACCTAGAGTAAAAGGCGGAGCCGAGGCCGGGACTAGGGTAGCTATTAAAGACGGGGTTAAGGCTCTTAAGGGAGGAGGAGCTAAAGGAGCAACAGCCGTAGTAGCAGGAGCCGTAGTAATAAGGGCTATAGCAGCTATAAGGGCAGCAGGTTAAGCCGTCTAGGTCGAGTGCTAGCTATAAAGGAATAAGACTACTTACTATTATACTCTAGTAGCCTCTTTATCTAGTTCCCGGCTAGCTTCTCGAAAGATAGTCGAGTAACTATTACTAATAAGCTTTATTAGTAGAGATATATCCTATAGCTATTAGCCGGAAAGAGCTTTTATAAGGAAGTATTAGTTAGCTTCCTCGAGGATTTCTTCTTACTTAGCTAGCTACGAAGAAGCTAGTAGGTTCCTAGTAGAAAAAGCTCCTAGGTAGGCCGTATAGGTCTTCCTAATACGGTTAGTTATATAGCCCCTTAAGGGAGCTATCGAGGACTTAAGCTTTAAAAGCTATTGCCTAGGAGTCTCTTCCTCTTATAGAGAGATTAGCTTTACGGCACTAACGGATTCTATTATTACTATACGAGTAGTAGTTAGTAGCTTCGTCTTATAAAGGTATTCCTTTTAGTAACTCTTATAGTCGCCTAGGGTAGCAGAAAATGCTCTCTACTATATAGGGGTTAGCTTAGAGAAGAGGGTAGCTCCCTCTATAAAGTCTATTACCCTAGGATAAACAGGGGGCTCGAGAGGGTCCTACTTATTAGAGAAGACTAAATTATAGATAGTTCTATCTATATAAGCCCGTAGCTCCTTTACCTACTTATCCTAATCTTAGGGCTTTGCTAGAATCGTCCTACGGACTATAGGGATAGTAGAGGAGTCGTTTTTCGATATTATTATAGGGAAGGGTAGAAAAGTCGGGTAAAAACCGGCTTTTCTAGTAAGAGGGGTAAAAGGGAGCTATAAGGGATATAAGAAAGGTGCCTTTTATAGTAGCTAAAAGGTATAGGAATTCTATTCCTCCTAGGCTTATAACTCTCGTAAAGAGAGATATAAGAAGTATATAAAAATATATAAAGGTAAAATTAAAAGTAAGGGGTCGGATAGGTAGAGAAGAGAGATTTAATTCTTACGGGGGTAGTAATAAAGGTAGGGGAGTAATTATTATATTGCCTTAATTATCCTTCTTTCCTCTATATAACGCCCCCTTTTATACCTATCTAGCACCTTAATTAATAAAGAAGATCCTGCTTAAAGAAGCTACTAATATCCTTTCGACTACTAAGCTTTTTACTAGTTTTTTCCCCTCTTTTCTAGCCGTTGCCGGCATATCCGTCTTATCTTTCGCTATCTCTATAGGAAGCTATCGCTACTTCTACTTCCCTTTATGCCCCTACCCTCCTTTTTGCACCTCTTTTTAGCTCCTTCTTCCTTCTTCTATACCGGGTGTTTTTAGCTTCCTTAGTCCCTTATGCTAAGGGATATCTCCGAGAACTACGAAATCAGGCCACGCTTCGCGATACTTACCCCTACCCTCCTCTCTATACCTCCTTTTAGCTCCTTCTTTAAAACCTATTTTTTAGCTTCTTAGGTCCCTCGTACTAAGGGATATCTCTAAGAACTATAAAATTAAGCTATACTTCGCGATAATAATAGTCTATACTAGCTATAATAATATAGCTAGCGAATTCCCTAAGTTAATAATATATTAAAGGTAGCTTAAGAGCTACTTAAGTAAGAACCTATTTATAAAGGTATTTTTCTTACTCTTAACTAAGCCTTTAAGATACCTCTTTTACCTTCTTTATAAGTAGTACTCCTTTAAAATATATTTAAAGGGTTATTCTTAAAATACCTTACTTATAACTAGCTTAAAGCTAAGGTATACTATTATTAATAGCTTAGAGCGCTTCTTAAAGCTAGTTTTTAATATATTTAAAAAGATAAGGTATTACTAATTTAAATAATATTTATTTTATAATTATTAAATAAAAGATATATAAGAAAACGCGGTTATAATATAGTAAGTAGTTAATATAATAGTAATATAAAGAGGTATTAAAAGTAAGGGGTACTAAAAGCTAGGTATATTAACTTACTTATAACCCTTTAGCTATAATAAGACCGGTCTTTAGTTATAAGCCCTATAAAAATATAAAGTAAATATAGGCTATATAGGTAATAGTACTAAGAGAACCTTATATAGTTAATTTTTAACTATAACGCTTTATATATTTTTATAGAGCTATAATATAACCTACCTATATTAACGCCTTCCTAAGGTATTATAAATAGCTTTAATAAAGGCTTCTTTATATAAGCTAGCGGTAATAAGTAGCCGCGGCCGCCTAAAAAGATAATAAAGGGATATAACTAAATTAATATACTTATTTATATAGGCTTAAACTACTAGTACTTTTATTATAGTAATATTTACTAGTAAATTAATATACCTTTAATTATTAAGGGTCCTTATTAGCTAATATTCTTCTTTAAGACTAAAGACTAGTCTTACTATAGTTAAAAGGAAAGAGTATATTAAAAGCCTAAATAGTACTATATATTAATAGGTAATTTAGAGATATTTCGTAAAATAATCTTAAAGAAGGTCTTATATATATATCTATAAAAATAGTACGTGATTTTTTTTATATAGGGTCTTTCTTAGTATTCTACGATTTCTTACTATATATAACATAGATATTTAGGGACGCTTTATCTTCCTTAGTCTCTACTAAACCCGTATATCTACCTAGTAGCTAAGAGTTAATATAGAAGCCTGGGGGAACGCAAGGCAAAGAGCGGGACTTTAGGACGCAGCCTTGCCTGCTACAGCACCCTGTTGCAAGGCAGGCGAGCCTCCTCCTGGCTGCTTCGGCTGCTTCGGCTCCTTCTGCTCCTTCTGCTCCTTCGGCTCCTTCTGCTCCTTCTGCTCCTTCTGCTCCTTCTGCTCCTTCTGCTCCTTCTGCTCCTTCTGCTCCTTCTGCTCCTTCTGCTCCTTCTGCTCCTTCTGCTCCTTCTGCTCCTTCTGCTCCTTCTGCTCCTTCTGCTCCTTCTGCTCCTTCTGCTCCTTCTGCTCCTTCTGCTCCTTCTGCTCCTTCTGCTCCTTCTGCTCCTTCTGCTCCTTCTGCTCCTTCTGCTCCTTCTGCTCCTTCTGCTCCTTCTGCTCCTTCTGCTCCTTCTGCTCCTTCTGCTCCTTCTGCTCCTTCTGCTCCTTCTGCTCCTTCTGCTCCTTCTGCTCCTTCTGCTCCTTCTGCTCCTTCTGCTCCTTCTGCTCCTTCTGCTGCGTCTTCTGCTGCGTCTGCTTCTTCTGCTGCTCTTGCATACCATTCTTGTCCATTTCCCATTGGTAATTGGCATCTTGGAACGCCTCCTTGATCTTTTGCTCTTTAGCCTTCTTTTCCGACTCCTCCTTCTCGTGTGCAATCCGCTCTTGTTCCATCTCCTGAATGATATGTTAGCAGTGGCCAGCGGGCAATGTATGTGTGCCTAAGCATACCTCCATATGCCGGATGTCGTCCACGCTGGGCTCATAAAGGTGCCATATGACATAGTGAGGCAAGCCTACTACCGAGTATTGCATCCGCCTCGCCATCTGAGCAGGTCAGGTTAGCTAGCGCCATGTGTGACGCTTCAAGGTTACTCACTTTGCCAAACCCCTCCGTCTCCGCGTGCTTCAGGAAGCTGAAAGCCGGAAAATGAACACCAGTCCGAAACACTTTTGCCCTTGCCAGGATGCTGACGCCCCCGACGCCATCAATCTCCATTTCCATGTCAGGATCCCCGTAGGGATCACGAAGATAAGCGAGGTGTGGTCGCCACGTAGCATATTCCGCGTAGCCCTCAACGATGACGGCATCTTCATCCAACGTGTCAGCTAGCGCAAGCGCGGTTTCCGATTCTTGCCAGGAATTCAAGTCGTAGGGCTGTTCGCCGCCAAGCCAGTCGGGCAGAGGCCGCCAAACATCTATAATCCTGTCAGAGACGGGAGCATGACAACGTATGGGAGGACCAAGGGTGGCCGTGAATTGGCATACTCGGAACAATGACATCCTTGTTGTGCCGCATGAGATCCTCAAGAATCGTAAACGGAGCAGTCTCGACATCGACATCGCGCCAGTATACCCAGGAGTGGTAGGGCCGTAATGCGGCGCTCAGCAACCAGTTCCGGGCTTGCGCCATCAGCTTTCTGCGGCTCGCCTGTGCCGCAAAGCCGTGCCGACTTTCCACATCCTGATTCACCTTCTGACCAAAGTCTTTCTCGATGATGGAGATCTCGCCATACGGCTGCTTCGGGTCTTGGTCGGCCTGAATAAGCTTCAGGCTGTCTGACAGTACCTCCAGCGTTCGGTCTTTGGAATCTGATACCAGGAAAGCCAGGTCGATGAGGTGATGGGGATAGGTGAAGTTGCGCAGGTGAGAAAAGAACATGGCAAGATGAGGCTCGGCGTCGCGCAGTGGAACGCATAGCAGTATACGCTCCTCGCGTTCCCATCCACGTGCAGTGCCTTGGACATTCGTCAGGTCGTAGTATCGAACGGTCTCGAGTTCTAGGTCACTAGGTGAAGAGAGGATGCCCAGGGACACAGGCCTGTGCGGCCAAATCCACAGACAGAGGAGGATAAAGGCGAAGGCAGCAGCGCCGAGGCGGACGAGGAGTTTCCTCTGGCGTCGATTCACCGGTGCAGATGTCCGAGGTTGGAATCTGATGTCAACATCACGGTCAGCGGGTGCGCGGACAGGCGGGAAGCAGAAAAGCAATAATCGCGCCTCGTCGAGGGGGCTCACCTGTGGGGAGAGATGTCAAACGTGTTTCCGCGCGGGTAGCCGTTGGCGAAGCCACTGTTGTGGTGCCGGGGCATCATCTTGAAGTCGAAAAGGAAGACATGCGAAACCTCCTGGAATGTCGGCCGCGCTTCGCCGCGCTTCAATATCGACAGGTAAGCGGCGCCGTGTGCTCGAGAATTCTTTGCCGTTATCGTAGATTGCAGTCGCAGGGCTCAAAGTCGTGGCGGCAGAGGATCAAGTATCTGCGAGCATGGTGGACATTTGAAGGGACACGCAGCGACACCACCAGACAGCCTCCTAACCCAACGACCCACCCCGTATATCCGGAAGAGCGCGCACAACTCAAGGCCGCGCAGGTTTCGCACTAAAAGTGTACTTAGGTACCTAGCGGCGTGTACCAATCACGCGAACTGCCGTACTTCGTACACATGTAAGGTACCTACCTTAGGTATCTAGGTAGGCACTTACTATATGAGTAGAGTAAAGCTATTTATACAACGCCCTTTTACTATTAGTATAACAGATCCATTTTTTCGGTACGTACCCCCGCCAGCCCGCCCCGCCCAAAGTACCGCGCCCGGCCTAGTAAGTATCCGTATCTTTTAAATGCCCTCGTCCACACACACATACATTGCGCCTACCTACACCTACCTACTTATCCACACATATAAATTTAAAGCTATCCTAATTGCCGCAATAGACCCTCTTCTTAACCTTCTTAACGCTAACAACGCCCCTATCGCCGACGCCGCCGACGCCGCAGTCGCTAACGCTGCTGTCCCTAACGCTCGAGACGGTGTGATTAATTGCTTGCCGCCGTCGCTGGGCTTTAATTCCTACGATATAGTATATAGCTTCGTCTAAGGGTTTCTTCGCGATAACGGTGCCGCTATCGTTAGACGGTTAAGCTTATATAAGCGAGATATTAATAGGGCCTCCCTTATATTACGAGTCTATTTTATATATAATCGTAGCCCATAGCGGGCTTCCTTAAGTATAGGGCTATACTAGACTTCTACCTAGAAGTAATGTCGCGTATACTATATGCGTTAATTGACGCTGTCGCTTGTATCTAACAGGCGGCCACATCTTTTTCGTGACAGTTATGAGCCCGGGAGGGGATGGCACACCACCCCTGCAACTTCCGGTAACTGCGCGCGGTGCGGGGTTCAATCCCCCGTAGACGACTACCTCTCTTGGATTTCCTTGGGTTATTGGCGTGGCGCTTGGTGTTCGACTCCCGCGTCTTGGGCTATAAGGTCCAGGGCTCCCGGCGGAGCCGCGATCCCTGAGGGGGTGTGTCGGAAGACGCGGTTGTCAGTTATATGTGTCAATTGCAGCGCACCTGTCGGAGCGCGTTCCACTTTTGCCTGCGTGGCGCAATGGTCTTCGCGATAAGTAAGACTATCTCTTCCGCCTTAATATTATAGCTTCCTTTAACAAAGGTCTATAAAAGTAGGAGTTTTAAGTTACTAAGCCTTCCTATAATTATAAGCCGTCTCTTAATCTATTAGTATATAATATTTATCGCCGTTAGACTAGAACCTAGTAAGACCTTAAGAGATATCTATCTAAGTATAAAGCCCTCTTAGCCTAAGAGCTTTTTAGTATCCTTCGATATATAGAGCCCGCCGCCGCTAACTTCTAACTACGAGACGTCTATAACGATTATTAAAAGCTTTATTTAAAAGCTTTAGACGGTAAGATAGCTACTTAAACGTTTATTAGGTATTTCTAGCGTAAGGGCCTTCCTTATTACGTTTAATTCGACCTATCTAATAAAAATAAGGTTTAAGGCGTATTATAGACCTACCCTTAGTATATTAAGATATAAAAGCGGTTTCTAAAGGTTCTTAGTCTTAATAATATATATAAGACTAACTACTTTAAACTCTTTCTTTTTTAGGTTACTAGTATTATTAATTAGAAATCCCTTACTAACTTTACCTTTAAACTTATTAATATAAAAAGGGAAGAGGGCTATTAGTAGCTCTTAAAATCCCTTAACGATCTTTATATTAAGGTTAAGGTAAAAGAGCTTAGTATTATAGTTATTAATAAAGAAGCTATATTAAAGAAGGCTCTTTTAAGTATCTTCCCTTATATATAGTAATAGCTATATATCTTTTATACTAATAGTAATATTTAAGTATAAATCTAGTCTTACTAGAAAGATACTATAAATCCTAATAGTAACGAAAACCCTTTAGATCTTAAGATACCTTTAAAGGCTAAGGTAATCCTTACCTAAGAGGCTATAGCTAATAGGGCAAATAATAATATTAAATTAAGGCTTAACCTTAATAGGGATCTTAACTACGATCGTAAGGGTATATTACTTACTTAGCGGCGTATTATCTTTATATATATAGAGGCGGATTTCTTTAAGTTATAGCAGCGGCTTAATAAAGTCTTTAGATATACTAAGGCTATATTATAACTTATATCTTAAACGAATATATACCCTTATAAGAGTAGTAAGCTTAGTACTATATCTACCGCTATTATAACTTTAGTTAATAGGTTAATAGCCCGGTTAAGACTACTTATAAGGATATAAAGTTATATTTACTTATAAGTATAGCCGACCTTTTATACCTTTATAATACTTTTATCTAGATAATTAGAAATAAGGAAATCTTATACCTATAGATAGCCTTATAGTAAGTAATATAATAACGGCGTTTCTTTTAAAGCTAGTAGTAGCTTAGAGATATTAACGTTATAGTTATATACTAAGTAGTTAACCTTCTTACTATATAGTACTAGCTTACTATAGCTACGATACCTTTATTTATATAAGGGTTAACGCTGTTACGGCCTTATAGTAAGAACTTTATATACTAATTCGGGCTACCTTACGCTTATATTATCCTTAAACGCTTTTAAGCTAGCTTAATACTTAATAAGGCTAATATTCTTCTATAATAGTAGCTTAAGAAGCTATTAGTAATACCCCCCCCCCTTTTTAATAGGTTTCTTACTAATTCCTACTACTAGGACCTTAATAAGCTATTACTTTAAGTCTATAATCCTAATATTATTATAGTTATATAAGGCCGGCCTTATAATATAAAGTTACCTATACCTAGCTCGCTTATAGCTAGGGTATCGTAAGTTATAATAGCGGCGGCTACTACGCTAGTAGAAGTAATAGTAGTAGCGATAGCGATAGTAGTAAACGCTATAGCGGTAATAGCGGCGATAAGGGTATTACGGCGGCTGCTTAATTTAAGGGGTAGCTCGAGGCGCCTTAACGTAAGTATACGACGGTACTAGGGCTAAGATAAGATCGACGAGCTAAGCTAGAGCCCTTGGTCCCTTATAGCGTCTTAATAACGATTGCCCGCCTAAGGAAATACTAGGGGAAGGGGATTAAGAGGAGGATATAGCTAGAGGGGCATGCCTATAGCCTCGTAGCCGGCGGTATCGTCGTAGCCGGCGGCATCGTCGTAGCCGGCTACTTCGTTAGGCGTTAAAGGGATCGTTAAGTAGTAAGCTATTAAGTAGGTGCCGCCGCCGCCGCCGCCGCTAGCCATATAGCTATAAGGGCAGCGGCGGCGGCAGCGGCGGTAGCTATAGCCGGGTTAATTAGTAAGCTATTATAATATTAACTTAAGGCTAGAAATATATTATTTAAGCGAATTAAGCGGACGCGTTATATAGCTATAGCTATACCGGTAAAAGGGGCGTAAAGTATATATATATATATAGATAAGGGCATTTAAAAGGTATAGGTACTTATTAGGGCGGACGCGGTATAAGTAGTATAGGGGCCTAGCATAGGTATATATTTAAAAAATAGGTCTATTATATTAATAGTAAAAGGGCGTTATATAAATAGCTTTACTTTATAAGTATTACTATTTATATAATAGTATATTACTATTTATATACTTAACTTATTTTTAAGATATATATTAAAGCTAGTCTACCTTACTTATTTATACCGCGCGCGCTTAGTAAGTACTTATACCGCTTAAATACCTATACCCGCGCCTACGTTTACCTATATATAAGTTAGTATACCTAGCTTCTAGTACCTTTTATTTCTAGTACCCTTTATAGTACTAAGGTAAGTATATTTTAAACGTAATTAAAGCTATATTTTAATATTATAATAATTAAATTTAGTATTTCTAGCTATTTTAGCTACTAGCTATTATAAAGAGTATTAAATCTTATATTCTAATTAGCTATAACGGCGGTAGCCGGCTTAAGTATATACTCGAGCTATTTCTTTATCTTTATAACTTATTTAATCTATATAAACTGCTTATTAAGGTCCTAAGGGATAATTTTTTTTAAGGCTATAAATAATATAATTAATACTTTAGCTATTATATTTAAAGCTAGGAGGCTATAAGCTATTAATTTTACTTATTAAGGCTATAGCTAACCTTATTAAAAAGTAGTTAGATCGTACGGTTAACTTAACTATAGTTTTCTAGCCTTATAATAAAGTAATAGACTTCTTATAATCGTTTAAGCGTTTTAAGGGTATTATAAATAGCTAGGGTACTAGAATTCTTTCTTTTTAATAATATTAACGGCGTTAATAGCTATAGTAAGATAAACTAGCTTAGTAAGGGCTTTACTATATTAACTAGCTATAATCCTAACCTATACTACCTACCCTTAATATTCTTTTTAGTTAGACCGGCCTACTAAGCTTAATAATATACTTAAAGAAAGGTAGTTTGATAAGTAAGATCGTACCCCTATAGATATTAGCCCGTTAAAAGAATAAGACCCTTAGTACTCCTTATCTAACTTACTTTTAAGTATACTTAAAGGCTTTATAAAGACTTTAATTATTTAATAAGGTATCTTCCTTAATTATAGTTAATTTAAATTTTATTTTTCCCCCTTTAAAGTATAGGCCGTTAGTTACGCGACTTTAGTAAAGATAAAAAGGTATAAAGTAAAGAAATCTCTAAGACTTATATTAATAACCTAAGACCCTTAGAGCTATATATAGGACCGATAATTAGATAATTATATAGTTAATTACTTTATTAATCCTTAGCTATATACTATATATACTTTAGGTATATACCCTTATCCCTATTAAAAC